TTTCTAATAATGTTTCAGCATAGACGTTGAAAAGCACCGGTGACACTTCACTTCTCTTCAATCTTCACCTCTTCAATCTTCAGTTTCTTCCTCATTCACTCTGACCGCCACCTTCTGGTTTTTATAAAGCTCTCTCAACAGTCACTTTGTCAAATGCTTTCTTTGAATCTATGAAGCCTTTGACGTCCGTCATTTTTAGACAACCAATGGTGTCTCTTTTCTCTCGTCAACATTAGGAAACGGAATTTTGCCTGATGGTAGACAATGAAAAACGGTAGCTAGTCAATAACCCACGAAACTTCATCAGGCGCCCGTCTCTAAATATTTTAATTATTTTTGCAGCCTTCGAAAACTCCCGTCATTTAGAAGACGAGATTTGACCCGAGAATTACAATCAATAACGGATCTTAACTGGAGTACCAAATATTAGAATTTCAACTCTGCCAATTTTCATTATTTCATTCATTATTTCATTAAGTAATAATGATTGCCGGTAGCTAATCAGATATGTTGCAGCATGTGTCTGGTATCAAATGAAGCGCGCTTAATTACCATAAATTTTAAGCTTTTTTCCAGATTTTTGGGATAACAATTAACCGATCAATTAATTAAACATGTTTTAATTTTTGAACGTTATCACCCAAGTTCGCTGAGCTTTTTGGGAAACCCAGCGTTCCCTTCCTGACAGTGCCGAAATTTATAAAAGGGACGAATATAATTTACAGGGGATCCTTTTGCTTGTGCTTCAGGATAACGTGTGTATTTAGGCGTGTACCAAATAATTTTACATATTACAAAATAAAGCTTTTGTGAATATTTCTCTTGTTCACAGCTTATTCGGCAAAGATCACACGATAAACTACGTGACTATTTCACATAGTAGTGGCATACCACATATATTTATGCATTTATGGTCTATTCTCCTAGATCGAAAATTTACATTTTAAATATGTTTGACGTGAACCACACATCTACATAATATAAGCCCGTTAAAATTCTACACCAAACATCCATTATTTTATTTAAATACAAAACGCGATTCTTCTTATTAAACAATTAAACATTATTATCCGTGTGATGGTATTGAGTGCGGTGATCTAGTCTTACCCCTTTGAGCCCATTAATACAAGCAAATAGGAAAAACATGCAAATTATAAGATCTTCAAGATTATTTATTGCATGCTCTAGTGTAAACTAAATTACTTAAATTTAGAAGGTGCCGAATAAACTATTGTCGAGACTATTGTAGTTCAGGTGAAGATGAAGCTACTCGTAGTATTCACTTTATTCGTTGCAGTCTACACGAAAAAGGTAGGTATATCTAGATTCTAGATGAAATAAAATTGCCATTACCTTACCTCTTTCGTAGCTATCACCCGAAGTTATAAAGGTATGGGAGGGTATAGTTGCACCATTATACGATGATTGTGTCAAAATAACTAACGTAGATCCAGAAATACCAAAAACTATGTTTGAACTGGAGGATTTACCAAACGCAGATTCCTTCATTTGCTACATGAAATGCATCTATGATAAGTTGTCATTTTTGAAACCGAATGGCGAACTGGATCAAGACCAAATGCTAAAAGTCATCTATACGTTAAAACTAGAGGAACTCCAAAAATGTATTGCTGACACGCCAAAGTCAACAGATTTGTGCAAGAACACGCATGATATCGCCGCCTGTATTATACATCGTGTTGAAAATGATTAGAACTATGTCTGATTCGCTCTGTACAATACTAGATACCTATACATGTAATCGAATATCAATCAATTTATGTAGATATGTAGGGTAATATATGAGACAATCCTTTCAGTCATCAGCAGCTTGCAATCACTTTTATTTAGTAGTGTCACAGATTTATTGTAGTTAATCTGTGGTAGAGTAAATGGTGTTATCCTTTTCGATACTGTTATTTCCTTTTTAAAATTTTAAAACCAATAAAAAGAGTTTAGTACGATTACGCACCCCCTCCGAGGAAGTATGAAATTGATCTTAAGAGTTACTGATGTATATGATAATAATAATAATAATAATAATAAACTTTATTCGTGTAGTATTATCTGCTATACCTACTATAAACGCCAAAGGATTAAATTAGAATCCACCCTACGGTAAATTACAGTTAATTAATTTGACTTTGTTGGCGGTTCAACGCACATTTCCTAACGGTTCTCCTAAAACAGCCAACTTCCCACTACTTTACTTTTTCAATTGACACCCATCTCATGACGCTAACCTTTTTCACCAATAAACTAATTTTATTTATCCAATCAGATTACTTGGCTGTCAAATCGACTCAACGTGGAATAATTTCTAGGCGTAACGTAAGCGCCGTAATAGCACAGATTTAAGTATATTTAAATCTGTGGTAATAGATTGCACGAAATTCATCGCTCAGCTTTCAAGGTCAATCGTGTGTAATGTGTGCGCCATTTTTTCATTTTTAATTGAAAGTTAGAACGGAAAGCTGTATAACTGCGGTATATAAAACAATCGTTAACCGAACCTGTGCCGCTAGTTTTTGAGTTATTGTCGTGGGCGCTTTAATTCTGAACTGCAATTTCTAATAAAACCAGTAATAAGACGCATTTATTATGCGACAAGATGAACTTCGTCGTGTAATGAAAATTAATGGAAGGCGGATTTATGTTCAAGTTTCAAGTTTGTAAATCAAAACTGCCCACCTCTCTTGTGTATACAGGGGTGTTAATAGATCTACATTAAATCACATCTGGTAAAAAGTTTAAAGACAATTAATTCGTGCGTTTGCTACATGTTAAACCCTAAGTTATAAGGAAATTGTTTTGACATCCTCCTAATGCGGAACCACGATCGTATGCGGAACATTGGTCAATTAATCCAATGAACAAAAAGCTGAATCCCAGTTTGTTCCGGATTCTAATAAATTGTTAGACAACTTTCGAGATCAAGGTCATTTTATTTCAAAGGTTACTTGGTAACTATGTGGGCGGAAGCGGGAGGGACGGAATGTATACGTCATCGAGAATTCAGACATTGACGTTCGACGTTGTTTGTAGTCGCGCGGGTGCTTATTTTTCTTGAGTTATAGTTTATTTGTTTAAAATTTGTTGAATTTTGAAGTGCATAAGGACATGTATTAGCTGTAGATACCTGTTTGGTGCTATAATAAAGACATTTAGTTTGTGAATTTTGTGGAATTTCATAGCCGTGATTGAAAGGTTAGTTCATCAATTATGCACTTTTGTATGTTATAATTAAGTATTTTTTTAGATGAGTGGCGGTAACACTAAAATTCTTCATCCTGGTGTAAACAAAATCTCGGTTTTTACGTTTCCCAAAGACCCTACCGTTCTTAAAGAATGGGTAAGAAAATGGTGCACATCCGGCAGCAAACTAAAATGTGCTGCGCCCTCATTGGTCAAAACGGCCAACCGATGAAAGCGTAGCGTCCCTGGCCGCAAACGTTTAAAAGCAGAACCACGAACTCTGCAAAGTGCAACGCAATTTCTGCTTCGACTGCACTTCAAGAAACAAAAAGCTCTTCACCTGCAGAACCAGGTCGCCTTGCCAGCTCGACCTCGCGCCACACTCCATCAGTCAAAAGACCTGCATCTGGGCTCACTCCAACGACAGAGCTCACCGTGTGCACCTCGGTTACCATTTTGTACATACCATAAATATACATATTCCATAAAACGCAACTGCATTTTATTTGGCGTCATCCGCTAAGGAATGTTTAGAGTTTTAATTCCCAAAGCCTATGTATTAATACATACGGGTGGTTCCTATTTTGTAGAACGCGGAATTTCATCCATTTCCACCTCTAAAATGAATTTGATTACATTTTCACAAGTCCTCGTGCAATGTTTTCAAAGATGGAAGTCGATAAACTTCCAAGATTTCCAATATAAGATCCACCCTTATATACATATACCCATATAAATCCAAAAATATACTGCAGAAACTAAATTTTTTACCCCTTTTATTAGCATTGTAACCTATGAGCAATTTTAAATGTGTATTCTGGATGACGTTTTCCCGCCTTCAAAATGCAAGCATTCTATTGGTTTAGAGTTACGAGACAACCTTTCTAATAAAACAACCTTCTTTCGAGATTCCCTTTCGACGAGCAGTCAAGTTTACCAGGAAAGTGCGATTATATTGCACAACGTCACACCATTGAATTTATAACTATTATAAATTCAATGGTCACACCATCCAATTATCTGAATTTCACTTTGAACATTGATAAATGTAAGCCATTTTGAAGTCGATAGTTTTGAGAATTTTGTATAAAAGATTTTTTTTATATCGCTGTGAATTTAATTTTGATTATGTTTCGTTATTTTCCTAGATCGAGGATTTACAATTTAAATATGTTGATGTGAACCACGTACGCACGTACATCAATATATCAATTATGTTATTTAAATACAATACCTGAGATGTCTTGAATGAGAACCCTTTCAAGCAAATGGGAAAAAATGCAAATCATAAGCCGTATAAGATAATTTATATCGTTGTAAGTGCGTTTACAATTAGTTTTATTTAGACGATAACCAATAAAAAAATGCAGCTCATCATGAAGTTGTTCTTCTTATACCTCTCCCTCTTTGGAGTGCACACGAAGAAGGTACTTAGGTAGATTAAATTACAGTTGATTTTTAAGGCATGTTTGTAGCTAACGCCAGAAGTTATAAAAGTATGGGAGGGTGTAGTCGCACCTTATTTCGACGATTGTGTCAAAATGACGAACGTTGATCCAGAGATACCAAGAACTATGTTTGAGCTGGAGGATTTGCCAACCGCAGAATCTTTCGCTTGTTACATGAAATGCATTTTCGAAAAAATGTCATTTTTCAACTCGAATAACGAACTGGATCAAGACCAAATGCTAAAATCGATTTATATGTTAAAACCAGGAGAACTCCAGAGATGCATGGCTGAATCAGCAAACCAAACAAATGTATGCAAGAAAACACACGATATCAGCGCCTGTATTATACATCGCGTTGAAAATGATTAAGATATTTTCTATGCGTTTAAATTATGGTTTCGTTTTAGTACTATATTTCTTTAATGTCATAGTATATAGATCTGAGAAACTTTCTTTTCAAATGCTAATTCAGTACTCTGATGTAGTTACCTAGAATTATAATAAATAATTGTTTTTTCCAGCATATATTGCCTTTTGAACAAACAAGTTGTAAATCAGCATATGCATGATTAAAGCGCATTTTTGGTAATACAGGTCAGTATTTGATTAGCGAAGTTTAAAATTATCGATCTCACGAGTAATTTTGGCTGCGTTAAATAATTTAATTTTATTTAATTTCAATTGAGTGTACGTCTTTATTTTGTAAAACAAATCACAAAGTAAATACAATTTTTATACTGGTAGCGCTATCTAACGGTAAAATTATAGCACCTCCGAATACCATATCGAAATTATTTTCTTAAATTATCGATCTCACAAGTAATCTAACTCAAAATAGACTAGAGCCTGCACATCTACACTATAGCAGAAAGCTTTTAGTGAAAATGTGAAGTCTCTAGCTATTGTAGTTGCGGAGATCTGACCCGGACAGCCGGCCGGCCAGCCATAACGAATATAATAGCGTATTTTTTTCAAAAATGCGCTAAAAATATATTACGGCAAATCTTATGACGCCGACGGACGGATAAATAAATAAATTTTCTTGTATCATAACAATTTGTTGAATGAAAATAAGTATTTTGTTTTGCTGGCAACAATTACTCAAATTACTTACTTTTGCATTCAATGTTTTCATCAGTGAGCGATTATGATTGGGATAGTGAGAAATACGCTACATACGGAACAAAATACCTTTAAGTATTTTCTGCTTACTTTCAATAAAATATGTTTTACACACTCTATTAAAGAGAACCGATCGTCATTTTTATACAAATCAAGAAAAATTACAGTACCTTTACATATAGTGCTCCCTGGACACGATGGTTTTCTTACAGTACAAAATTGTACTTCCCTTATTCGAGTGAGAATGGATAATATAGGATGGATCTCCTTAAATACGACTGCCCGGGCTTTTCTGGGTTTCCTGCTCCCTTTTCGTGTGCAAATAATCGGGTAATGAACTTCTATTAAAGTCTGCTACTAAACCGCAGTCTGCTCTCACAATGTAAGTTATTGTTATGGCGCAAAAAACAATTTATGACTTGTAATTTCTTTTATGATAGTCTCTTCTGAGCTAAGTCCCCAAAACATTCGTGCGTTTTTTCAAATTCGACCACACGCAACCTTTCGAACGTGGACACAACAAAACAGTCACAACACTTTTCTCACAAAATGTTTGAAAATATTTGAAATTTTAAGATCCTTTGTGTGTCAACGGTTTTCGGATATAAATTCTTTTCAAAAATTACTACCCCTAATTGTTTATCCCTGCCCTATTATAGCTAGAAATGGTCGCTGGATTCCACGATTCTGCCTGGATGGTCGTCCGCGTAGACAGTCAGGGGGGGTGTCTCGTGTCTTCGGCATGTCCCGTACGTACAGAGAGAACAGCAACCATTGGGGTACTCCGGACGTTGCTTAGCGCTCACGCAATTTGCATCCCTTCAATGTATTTGAGGTATAATGCAACAATCTGGACCGTGGGTAAGGGGACTAAGGGGAGACCTGATTCCGATTATTTTCCACCCACAATCCACAGCAGCACGTTGTGCGTAACATTAAAATTTGGGATTATAAAAATAAGCCCATTGAAAACTGATTAAACTTCCAGAAAACATCAACCCCACCCACAACAATATAAATAAACTGTACATAAAACACACACACAAGATATCTGTACTTGATTTGCCGGTGAGTCGTTAGTACTTATACAATTTAGTAGGTTATTACATTGACAAAACTGTACATTACTAACAATACAACAGCTTCCAAGCAATCAACTAAAAAAAGGTGCATCCAAATTCTTCAAAACGTAATCTCTCAAGCGTAATCTTAAGTACGAGATGGTTTCAATTAACCACGGGGTTCAGCCCCCAATTCGACATGCACTAGAATCCGCAACGTTCTGTTAACAACAATTTTAAGTGAAGCTTCCTAATCTCGGCCAATAGTGCAAAGTTCGTCACCTGCGTGTGATCGAAACCAACAAAAACAAAACCTAGCTGAAATATACGGTCGTTCGCCGAATCTACAGACAACAAGAACGGCTTGACTGACTCGACAATCCCCAATCCGTTTTCTGCAATCCAACCAAATGGATGTCCCAATATCTAACCAATTTCACATTATGCAACAACTTTCAAGTGCCAACCAAATTAATAAATTACCATCTTAGAGGTATATTGCATCCAACCGTCATAGCGTCTCTCCTCGGCTGGGCCCTGCAGCCACCTCAGATCACCGCTTCCGCTACTTTGGCAATCGTCAACAGCAGGGTGATCGGGCGGTAGTTCTGTGGGAACGTCGTGAACTGGACCGGTTTCTGTAACATAATTATGTCGGCACGTTTCCACCGAGATGGAAAGTGCCGCAGTCTGAGTATCGTGTTAGAAATAAAAGCGAGAAATCTTGCGGCATGTTGATGGAGTACCTTGAACACCTTGTTCCGAATTCCGTCCGGTTCTGGCGCCCTTCTCGGGTTGGTCTTTTTGATGGCGTCGGAAAATTCTTCTTCGGTCGTACGGTTGGCCACCCCGCTTATTTGTCGACGCAGGGATCTCTCTGACCCTTCGGTTGCCGGTGTCGATAAAGTCTAGATCCGCGCTTTTTAGCAGTTGGGAAAAAACTGACGTTCTACATACTCCGTCGGCCTAATCGGCGTCCGTATACACCAGTCCTCCGACTCAAGAATATCGCAGGCGGTTTTCCCAGGACTCATTTCTGAAGTCGCGGACGGTGGTTTTGAAGTCTTTGGGACTCGGCTCCGTCTAACGGATCCCATGAACGCTAGAAGCGCGCTCTGGATCAGTTCGAGTTCTGAATTAGGCGACGGGTCAAAAAGCTTTTGAAAGCGCGAAGTTAAATATTAAGTCACGCCCCAGGAGTCTGTAGTCGGTCCGTGCGTTCCAAATCGTATTCATGTCAAGGGGGGCGGAACCAAACCCATTCTACATCGGAGCGGCGACGAAAAAGCATCTAGAAATCCTCGTGCACAAACACTCGATGTATTTATGAACGTTTTAGTTTAATCTCGTTGTAGGTTTTGCAGCTTTCTGTCGTATCTCCATTTTTTGTTGTTTGCCTCGTCGTATACTTATTGGAGATTTCATACTCAAGCGATACTTAATTTTGTGTAATTATGTAATAGCGATTTATCCACTTACTTGCGGTTTGCATTAAGTTGGTGTCTTTGTGGACCCCACTTGCTTGTTAAGTTTTAGAGCTGCGCCTGAAATTTCTTAATATATGAACGTATTGCAGTTCGCTTTATTTTTATTGAACAGGATAATACAATTGATTTTTTTTAGCACCTGACGGTCACCCATTGTACATTGAATTTAGTTCAGGTACCTATAAATAAAGTTGAATATTTCCGATCAATCCAAACTGTGTTCTTGTGAATGAATGTGGTTTAGTCATTTACTTTACAGGATTGTTTCACTTCAAACCTCCATTTATTAGTATCTCTGTTTATGCATTTTAAAACAATGCTGGTATGTTATTTTCTTGCAGTAACGGCATGCCATAAAGCAAATAAGTATCGTTTCGTAATTGAATAAAGATTATTGAGTTATTATTATTTATCCCTTTACCATTTCCTTAAGAGGTCAGAAGATGTACTATTCAGCGCGCATTACAGATTTTTTTATTACCTAACAAGAATATGTATAGGTATAATAATAATATTTAAATATAATTATTATAATTATAATATTTATAAGATGTATGAAAAATAGTTAGAGGTAAGATAGAGTAGAAGAATTATTTTGTAAGATCCGTTACATCTCAGAGGGCGGTTTTATGGGAGAATACTCCAGGTAACGAATATACCTTGTGATGAATGTTATAGGAGTAATAATATTCCAGAGTGGCCTTCTCCAATTAATATTGCAGTTCCCGAAATTTGTAAAGTTTAGGAGTCAAGTTGGATAGACATCGTTAGGGAAAAGATCTGTTTTTATTGATGTAATTAGGAAACTAAATTAATGGGAATCATTCTATGGTATTTCCACCCATCGGTTACGATTAACATCACCCAGTTTAGAGACTAATTTGTATGTCTCAATCTTTATCCGCGTGCGAATGTTGACTATTTTGGCTTTAGTTACAACATAAGTGTAAAGTAATAAATATTCCTAATGTTTGAATTGGATACGTGCAAATCGGTTTACTTACAATAGTGAGAATTTATTTAGAGCTAGCAGACAAATGAGAAAACAATTCAATATATTCTTGAGACTTTTTAAAATTATCACCATGGCCATTTGGTTTAAAACTAGGTCCATTGTGTAGAAATGGTTTATAAAGGCTTGCGCCGTAACTGTATGAACAACTTGGGTGAAGATGAAGCTATTATTATTATGTTTTCTTTTCATTGCGGTACATGGAAAAAAGGTAACTATGGTTAGGTAAGTACACCCAAATTTTTTAATTGACTTTTTTTAGCTACCACCGGAAATTACAAATGCTTGGATGAGAATAGTGACGCCTATTTACGATGACTGTGTGAAAATAACGAACGTACTTCCCGAAATTCCAAAAACGATGTTTGAACAGGACGAGTTACCGAAAGATAAATCCTTCGCTTGTTACATGAAATGCGTTTATGAAAAACTGTCGTTTCTAAAGTCAAATAACGAATTTGATAAAGAGGAGATGGTAAAGGAAATTTATATGTTAACTCCAGCGATGGCGCAATTATGTGTTGACGAATCAGCCATGGAACCAGATATGTGCAAGAAAATAAATATTATAGTCGGGTGTATTGCTAGAGAAGTAGTATAAGTATTTAGATACCATATAAAATATGTAGATCTCGGTATGATTAATAAACCATAGACACACGCTCCTTGTTTTCTTATTGACACTCATTTGACTTCTGCACGTAGCTGGTCAGTTTGACCCAAGTGGTGAAATACAGTCGTGTACCTACCTACTCGTCGCAAAAATATTTTTATTTCATACTATCTAGTAATCGCCGCTTTCCCAGACTGATTTGAGTCTGGTAAATCGTAAATTTTTACCAGACTGGAAATTTTGCCTAGCAACCGCAACTGACATCCATCTAAACGTATGGATTGATATTTGTCAAACTACTGTCAGATCAAACAAATCAAGTGATCGGCTTTTGCTTTTATTTTAATGTGTACCTACAACATTCTAATCAAAATGGTATTTTAATAGAAATAGAGCAGTATGAAAAAAATGTTTTACATTATTTGTATGTCAAATCAGTTTACGTTACTCGTTTCGAAATTCCTGCCTCAGCTATACGCTTCGGCAGTAAACATCTCACTCGTTAACGTAAACCTTGATTTACCATACTCATATGTAAATAACTATTGCAGAAGCGCGCCCTTATATTCCCAGTAATTATACAGGAAATACAGTAAATCTTCCGCCTCCAACGTAAATTGCTTAAAAACCGCGTATGTCATTTTTAGATCTACCATTGAAACAACTCTCAAATTTATTACCTACTTATTTACGGTTGTTATTTGCTTTATGTAGTACATGTGATGTAAACAGAATTATCGTTACCATTTCATGTATATTTAAATAGATTTTATTGCCCAAAGAAATTATAATCGTATCAAATTTTCCTTCATTAACATTTGGTTTGTATTCTAGCGTCTTTTTTTTTGGTATACTATAGAATTTTTATTTTGAGGAATGATTTAACATTAATTCATAATATTCTGAAAAATGGGTGTTTTTCCACTTTTTCCAGCCCCCTCGTTTAATGCCATAATTAATCCTTTATTAATATGGTCCAATTAAAAAGTGATTTGTCATCTTTCACATTCACGTACACCAAATCGATGGAGTTGTTACGTTCACTTTGGGCAAACGTAACAAAATTGCATGGATGATAGTCCTGCGAAAGGATGGTTCATTGCAACCGGTTACAATACGGAATTTCCTGCACCCGATGACCTTTTTGTAATTGTAAAAACGAATGTTTTGCCATCGTTGGAAAATTAGGCGTTCTGTGGATGCTTCGGTGAACATTGGGACAATAGTGCTCAAATTGTTGAAGAAGACGAAGAAAAGAATGGTAATGTCGTTGACAAAGTGAATGAAGAATTGTAAAATATTGAAATGATTAAATCATGAACATTTTATGCTTATGTATAGTGTGTACCTACGTGTAGGTATATATCTATATTTTTGTATGTATAATTGTACATATTTTTTTTCTGTTTTAGTCCACTAAACTAGTTTTGGAGCATTGCAATTTGATAAGGGGTGGTTTTTAAAGGTTCAAAACAAAATGCAATTTGGAATATTTTAAGCAATAACATCTTTAAATTAAAGCTAGGTGATAAATAGGTAATTAATTTTATGAGGGTACATACATTTTTTAACTTAAAGAACAAAAGGGGTTGATTTTTAAGGGTTGAAATATTCTGAAATAGTGTTCCAAAACATTTAACAATCAATTCATCTGAACAAAATTTGGAATGTAAGTATAGTTTTGAAGGGCTTGACAAGAAGGCGTAGTATTTACCCCTAAAACGTTTTTTTTTAAATATTTGGTTTGAGCTAGGAAGCTGTTCTGCCCACAATTGGGCACATTTTTTATTACTATTTTCTTTACTGCGGTTACTATAATAATTTTACGATTATGACGACAAAAGTTCAACCGCCTTCTTTGGTTTCCCGGGAAACAAACCATTATAGTGACTTTTTTCTTTACACTAGCATGGTAGATAAAATGTACGAGCACGCTCGATTAGTTCATTCGTATTTTTTCAGCCTGTGGAAATGACACGTATGTTAATTCACTCGCAGCTCAAACTTGCGTTTAGTGTCTAGACCTAATATCTTGAGTTGAGACCGCACGTACCAACATCTCGTTGTCTAAGACTGAATGAATCCAAAACATGTCCTTCTCTATCCGGTTCTTAATTTGTTTTAACTAATTAACGCCTATCTTTAATCGTTTATTCGCTATTTTTGTTCCCGGCCGCTCACTTTTGTTATCAAACGGTACCTATAATAGTACCTACATAATGGGGTCATCCCGCCTTCATTTTTTATTTTTAATCCACAAAGTACATTAAAAATAAAAAGACCCGTGTGTCCTCAATTTTTATTTGCGAGTAAAATAAACCCAAAATAAATTATTGAAAAGCTGTGTTTTTAGTCCGAATTAGAAACGCTTCAGACTAAATACGTCACAAACCTACAACCAATCACGTAGAAGTGAGCTGGCAACCTTACGCGAGGGTCTGACGTTTGTCACATTTGACGTTTTGACAGGGATGTTTAACTGCATCACAGCCGTCTATAATTACAAGCCGTGCTGAGAATTATGGCAACACTGCATGGTAGGCCGATTTCCTAATTCAACTTGACAGATTTCAGGTGTATTTTATACGTGTTTTGGGTGTAATATTTACCTGTTTTAACAGAGCGAGAATGCGACAATTTGTGTTACTCCGTATGGAATGAACAGAAATTATTATTCAGGTAAGTTGCTAAACGAAATATATGGATTTGTTGTCTTAACCTCTAAAGCAGGCTACTTGTTACTGGACCCTTTACAAGCAAGTTCAAAGTACCTGTACAAGCTCAAATATGACCTACACACTACGTGGTATAAGTACGGTAAGTGTTTATCGTGAAAAAATGCAATTACTTTGTATTTCAGGTATTCTAGCACGGACATGTCAAATCGATTTTCTGAAGGAACCTTTCAACTTATTCCCAAGAGTTCATGGTACGGGAATTTGAAGTCTACGGGGCTCCCCTCTCAATCATATCGTTTTGAATAAACCTTTAAAACTGCACATGTTCATTATTTTTTTGCTAATCAGCCTCTATTTTTAAATAAACTTTTACTGTCCAAAACAATGTTTCATGGTTTCAGGTACACGCTTATTAAATTAGAACTGCGAAATTCAACTATACTGTAAACCCCCATTATTGATATCGTCCGCGTACGCGACGAAACTAACACCCCGCGGCACTGCCAGTTCCAGCGCCGCGTCATAAGCTACGTTCCACAGGAGTGGGCAGAGGACCGACCCTTGTGGCACGCCTTGCACTTTAGAGGAGTAAGTCAACTCAGATGGAAAGCCCACTTCCGTGGTTCTATTCGTAAGGTAACTGTCCACTAATTTCATGAGATATTTTGGTGTGTTGGTTCGATTTAGTTGTTGTAGTATTGTGCTGATTGGCATAGTATTAAACGCATTTTTAACATCAAAAGAGGCTACCACCGTCAGTTCCCTTCTTCTTGCTGCGTTGAGCGCCTCACATGCTAAGTTCTGAAAGTTTTCCAAGCGCGTCTCTTATACCTCTCCTCTTCCTGAATCGAGACTGGTTTTTCGATATTACTATATGCTGTGCTGTTCTAACCTGTTCACTATGACTCTCTCAAACAGTACTGCCGTAGCCTTATTATACTATGAGTTATTTTGGGGTGGAGTTTATAACCGCTTCGAGCTCTCTTATAAATATGTTCGGTGGCTCCCAGGCCACCTTTGATACCATTTTCGACGTTCGGGAGCTTTCCTCATCGACATACTTTTTGTCGCTCTACTTACTTCCTCCGTTCCTATCTGTTACTTGTTCCGAAGATTGTCCCTGTTATACCTATACACTGTGTCCAAGATAAGGATGTCTATCATGTGGATCTTGTAAACCACAGAAGTTACGAAGATGGTCAAATTAGGGAAAAGTTGCGTAATTAAACCTGTTATTATCGCGCTTTAAAGAAAACAAGAAGATTCCGATTACTTCCGAAGATACGAAAACCGAAATTTGCCGATTTTGTTTCTATTATATTTGAACAGATAAAAAAAATAATAGACACTTCTTCATTGCCACGTTTTGAGATCTACAAGATAGCGTTGAGAGATTTTCAATATAACGTTTCGTTTCGGAGAAATCGTCATCAACTTTATTTTTGTATATGGCCCGTAAAAAGGACATACTGTATAGTGTAACATTTTGTCTTACGAATACAACGACACAAAAAAACAAAAGTTGGGAACTCTGGTGGATTCAACAGGGTGGTGCACCCGCGCACGACGACTTAATCGTGTGAGAATACCTATCTCGGATAAATTTCCTGGAAAATGGATAATTTCTCCCATAGGTATTAACGCACCATTAGGGCTTTGTGCACGGGTGCACCATCATGTTGAAACCAACAGTATTTCTCGACATTTCTTCTTCTTATTTTCTTTAAATTTTTTTAGTTCAATGCGCGACGTACCTTATATATTATATACCGTCCACGTCTTGCAAGTTTGTCTCGCAGCGGCTACTTGGTCGACCCACCAGTATGCTACTCTTTTTCTTGTCTCCAGTTTGTACCTCGACATAACCAATTATCGGTTCACCTGCATAACTTCTCGTGTAGACAAAGAAGGCGTTGGAAGTGGATTAAAGGCTTATTCAAGTTGATCTAGTGGTAAAGGCGACTGTCAGTGTTTTTGTTACTTCCAAACGCAACTTATGGAAATAAGAGACCGATTCCCCAGTAGCAGATCAATTTTAAATCAATGATCAATAGCTTGCTAATAAAAATCCTTGTGTAACCCTTCGGATAAAAACATATATCCGTTTGTCAGGTTAACACTAAAAAACGTTTATTTATCTACTTATTTTCAACGATGCTTATACCGGTTTCGTTAGATTATGACATAAATAATACGTAATTTTGATACGTAGAATATGCCTAATTTTTATTCGTATTTTGAAGGAAGTAAATTCACCAATATTCCAGCATGGTAAATCAAAGGTCGATGCTAGTCACCGGCTTATTATTAGTGTCGATCGCCTTGTACTTCACTTTAAATCCCTGCTCTTGGGAATTGCGCCCAGATGTC